TTTAGGAGTCATGGCTCAATGAGGATGTGAACGATGCCGTGGTCCAACTGGATAATTTCGTCTGTTTTAGAAAGGATAGACAACGGTGTAGGAAAAAGTTGGGACGCGGTGTGACTACTCACATCAATTGCGGCAAGCCCCAAGTACTTTTTAGGTACTCACAGAATGGCGTTGATTGCTTGACTGTCGTTTGTCACCCCAAGTTCTCCCGCTTTCCTTATATCGCCATCAATAATTTATATATTGCATCCTGGTGTGGATTGTAAGACATTGACACATTTTATGATAATTTCCTACCGGTTATTGCTCCATCTCTTGCTTACGGCCTGCACTTAATAGCTGGNATAGCTGGGGACTTTAACCACGCCCCCCTGCACCCTTTATTGTGTCTAAACCTTAGCTACCTGATTATTGAACCGACTAGAGGAAACTCTCATCTAGACCACATAATCATAAACCGCGCTGGCACCTTTTCCACCAAACAGTTCTCCTCCTTAGGCACCAGTGACCACAACCTGATCCTGGTCAGACCTAAGATTTACTCACACTCAAGACAATTTTCTTTTACTCGACCCAAAACACATTATGTTCCGTCAGCTAGATCTTTCCCCCAACAATATGGCCTTGCTTAGATCGTCTCTTAAGGTAATTACCGACTGTTTTCCTTTAAACACAACTTGCTTGTCAAATATGACATTTCTAACAGAAATGTTAAACTGTTTTTGACCTATGCTGTTCTGTGATAACTTTGTTCCTTCAACATGACAGAATATCAAAGTTAACGTTAAAGTCAAAATCAACATCTTTTCTTAAACGACTTCGCCGTGAAAGGGAACGTGTATTTAAATGTGGCAACAGGGTCGAGGTGCAGTGATGGTCGTTTCTGATCAAGAGTCAGTTTTGTGGGACGAGGCAATGTAAATCTATGTGGCGTGGAATCAATCTACTCTGCAGGCAGAAGAAAGTGATTTCCAGTCCCTCTATTGATATTGAAAAACTGAATGCTGCATTTATTCATTCTTCGTCCGACACCCCAGTTATGTTGATTCCAGTTCTCCAAACATTCAACCTTCGTTTGATCCCATCACATCTAGTTAGATGTATAAACACGTGTTCTGTCACTGGCACACATTTTTGCGCATATAGCTAATCTTTCACTCGAACTTCGAACTATTCCGCACTGCTGGCGCCCAGTTAGAATTACTCCCATCCCCAAAGGAACGTCAAAGGCCCCAATAGCGAAACGTTTCAGACCAATTTCTCTCACTTCCACGGGTTTGAAATTGATGGAGCGATCAGTTGTACACCGTCTTCAGTTATCCCTTGCCTCCCGCGATGACATCAGTTTGCTAATAAACATAACCGCTCGACATCGGATGCCGTTTTTTCACTATTTCACTTCATCTGTAAGTCCCTGAACGAGAAAGCCGAATATCTGTACTGTGCATTTCTTGACTATCCTTCAGCTTTTGACTCGAAGCCCCATTCTGCATTAATTTACAAGCTCCAATCGCTTGGTTGTCCAACTTCTTTTCTTGAATGTATCGGGGATTACCTTTTGCAAATATTTAAGTCTGTCGAATTGGAAAGACAGTCAACGGCATCACTCAATAGTTCGATTGTGCTTCAAGGGGCTGTTTTCTCCCCCTAGCTTTTTGCAACTTATATCAGTAACTGACTCTGTACGACATCCAAAGCATGCTGATTACATTGCCATCTCATTTTCGGTAACTAACCAATAAGACCTAGCTCCATTTAACAAACTCATCCCACCTTGTCATATATTCCACTTTATCCAGTCTTAACATGAACCGCAAAAAGTGCGTTGAATGTATTTTGACTTCGAACCGTTCCTTATTTCCGCCTGACAATGCACAGATTCAGGGAAAGCCGATGAGCGGGGTCAGTCATGCGAAGTACTTAGGTGTCACACTTGAAAGTAACCTTCGCTGGCCTTTACATACCTAGCAAGCTGAAAGTTTTCTCCTTTCGGATAAGATGACCGTGCCACTTC